CCCCCCCCCCCCCCCCCCCCCCCCCCCCCCCCCCCCGCCCTCTCCTCCCTTCGTACCTGCTCCCCCCTTTTCTATCTCTCCTTTCAAATCCCTCTCAGGCTTTTGTTTCAACTTCCTATTCTTGCCTGGTGTGACCACATTTCTTTTAAGTTTCGGTGCTTATTTTCAAAGAAGCTGATGATGAAAACTATTGCCCAATTATAAAATATGTTATTAAATGCAAATGTTCCAGCGAATTCTGTTCAATGATCGTGAATAAAGTGGGCTGCCTGAAAAACGATCTGGAAAATGATAATGTCGGTGAGTTAGTACCAGTGGAAGAAACGAATTCATGGGTTGATCAATTAGCACAACTCGTCATCCACGTCCCACCACCTCCAGCAGGCAAAGATGATTCCGCGGATCATAGTGGTACCGAAAATTTCAGGTTTGTGAGCTAAAACATTTCATTGTCTTTTCTGAGAGTAGCGTTTACTGGAAAAAACGGATAATGATATAACGTTATAGGCTATTTCGTGCAAGACAATGTACGTACGCCTTATTTATATTTGGAATTTATTTTTTGGAACTCAGTTTTCGTGGGAAAAACGTGGTTTTTTTTCTGGAATAAAATTTCAAAAGAAAGTAGTATTTTCAGACGAATGATTTGCTCGATGTTAAAATCATGGGCCGCATCGTCTACCATTGAAAGCAACGAGTTGATTCGGAAAATGTTCAATCTTCTACTGCGCCAGTATACCGGTGTTGCCGAGGTAATCAGAATTGTTTTTCTAATATCAAGAGTTACATTTATTGCCATTCACCTTTTGCTGCTCATTCCTCCCCCGCAATGATGTGACAACAGCTGATCAAATTGATAAAATTTATTATTTTTTAACCATGGTCTTAAAATGACAAGTGAAATACATTGACCAGTGAAACTCGTAAAATTTTGCACATTTTTTTGTTGAATAATTTATCAAATGATTTGTTGCAGCTGATGAAAGCATTGTCTCAGACGTATGTTCTACACGAGCGCAATCTTGAAGATGTGCAGGATTTTATCGAAAATTTGATCCAAGTCCGTGAGCTACTTAATGTGCAATTCGAGGCTGCCGAAGAAGCTATCCTCAAAAGAGGTTTATGGTAAGACTCTGAGAATGGGTTGTTGTTTTTCTACCACAAAGTACAGTATTTCACAAAGCTACTAGTTTTGCTGTGGATGCTGGTCAAATGAGTTCCACAAACTCATAAAAGTATCATAGTTTTGCTTAAAATTTTGCTATTTGAAACTATAACTGATTGCTGACTTTTCGCTTCCCTCCCCATTTCCTCATTTAACTCCTCTCGTTCTTAGTTGGTACCATTTTAATCTATGGCAGAAGTAGTGCTTCTTTTTGAACTGTTTTTTGTGGGTTGTACTAAACAGGCAAGTTATAGGAGGCTGATGAACAATCGTATTTTCTTCCAACATCCTGATCTAATGCGCCTACTGACAGTCCATGAAGACGTGATGTCGATTATGATGAATGTTTTGACAGCTCAGCAAGGTGCTGCCGAACATGCAGAGCACGAAAATTATGATGAAGTAGCAACTGCGGAGGCTTTGAAGGTACAAATTCATGTGTTAAAGAATTATGGTAGCGCCAATCTTCATCAGACCGGAAGATGAAAATCATATTCATGCGACTGTCTAGATTTTTCATCGCTGAAAGTTTGAAGTCATTTTTGATTCATTTAGGGAGGTTTGCTCAAAAAATGTAAAAACAAGAAGCTGATAAAAGCTTGGTAATTTTACTAGGTACCAAGAGTCACAAATATTCAAGGTCACTACCTTCTGTAGGAAATCCACGTTCTTGAACTCGAAATTTGAATCACGAAGCTGTAACGTGATTTTCCATATCGTTTTCGAAAAAGCATTTCAAGCATTAAATTGTGGTTTGCGCCAAGTAAGAAGTATTTTCATTAGGATTTGCCATATGGAGAATTCCTGTCATTGTTTCCCAATGCTTTCATACTTTCAGGATGCATCCGAAATGGTTGTTGCATGCTCACGTTTCCTATGCTATTTTTGTCGAACTTCACGTCAAAATCAAAAAGCCATGTTCGAGCATCTGTCATTTTTGTTGGATAATGCAACAATGCTTCTTGCAAGGCCCAGTTTGCGAGGTATCCAATTTTGCATATAAGACCAAATAAATACAAAAAAAAATAACAATATGTGTAAATTCTGTGCGATTTTTTTTCGTTTATTGGCTATTGTTAGCAAATTACTAAGGTTAACTATCGATATTATGCTTGAAAAAATGAAAACAATTATTTTGCATCAAATCTGAGTCCACTCTTTACTTTTAAAGTTAGACAAATCTCGTGCTTACCAAGCTATTCGCAAAGACCTCTTGGATTTCCGGCACGAGGATCCGATGGTAGTGCTATTACTGGTATACTTCCAGGCTTAGTTGTACCACTGTATTTGCTATCGCTGGTTATTGCAGGTTCGGTACCACTTGATGTGGCATATTCGAGTTTCATGGACAACAACGAATTGGCGCTAGCTCTGAAGGAAGAGGAACTTGACAAAGTTGCTGTTTACCTCAGTAGATGTGGTCTACAGGTACAGATGACAATTACAACTGAGATTTCTTATTCTAAATCAAAATGTATTAGCACATATTAGATACGTGATTTCAAATTTCCTCGGTATGATCAACTATCAGTTCCACGGTTATAGAACCTAAACGAAGAATATGAAATAGCGCTGCCTATTTAGCCTCAAAAATTTAAATTTATTATTATTCAATTTTCTGATCCAAATATCTTATAAAAAATGTTTCAAACTTGTAACAGTTCGTTACGGATCAGTTTTTAATCTTACTTAATTTTATGAATAATATAAAAATTACACGGTCTTTCGACTGAAGTCAAGTACTTGTTTTCTTACAGCTGGTGGTGTCGCTTTCCAGTTGGTGGTACCACAAATAAGAAACAGCGTGGGTGACTCCAAAAGGATAATTCCCCTGTAATTTCATGCTCGATATTCGCAGCTAATGACAGTTGTAGCCCCTGTTGATACACATGCTCGCGATCGGCGAATTTTAAATTTTTATTTTTTTTTGTGACTTTTTTTCTGAGGTGAAGCTTGATAACACGTTACGAGATGAATAACACTCTCGAATTCTTCAAATTTTGCTATCAGAAATCCTTTCCGTATTCACAGTTTTAGAGGCGGAGCACTCGAAAGTAGTCCAGGTGGTGGCATGGGCCAACAGCAACTATCCCGTAGCAGGGCAAACATTAAAATGCATGCGTTGCTTTATCAATTATTAAAATCACATGGATCGAGTGGATTTCATTTACAGCAACAGAATTTGTAACTCACTTTCTATGTGACCCGATTCTTTTAGCCAAATTCGGAACTGATTGGAAAAGGTTATCCGGACATTGGATGGGATCCGGTAGAGGGTGAACGTTACATCGATTTCCTGCGATTTTGTGTCTGGATCAATGGCGAAAGCGTAGAAGAGAATGCTAATTTGGTGATTCGGCTACTGATTCGCCGGCCTGAATGCCTAGGCATTGCGTTGAAAGGTGAAGGGCAGGGCCTGTTTTCAGCATTCAAGGCAAGTTGTGAGTTTTTTCAGGATCTGAACCTTTATAGATGTGCGAACTGAGCTGTGGCTAGCTTTTCAAATGCATTATGAAATCAGATATTGGCTTTTCGAATATCACAGTGTTCATTTGCCTCTCCGCCTTTCTCTCATCTTTTTCCAAAGGCTGTAGTTGTGCTTATATATTTTTATGATACTGATGTAGTACATAATTTGAAATCTTGTTGCTTCATTAAAGCGGTACCGCTTTGAACCAAAAATCAAGTTATGAGGAAGATTGTAATTCAGTAGTCCTCAACATTTTTTCAAGTTAGTATGGAGTCTTTGCTGTTGCTCAGATGAAGCCATGCATCAGGCGCGTTGCACCTTCCTGCCTTTGAAAGCCCGTCGAAGGCTACCGCCTACTGCTTCCACTTTTTATACTTGTTTTTGAAGGCCCTCTTTAAGCAACAGTAATTTCCGCTTTGTACTTTCTGGTGCACTAGTTATCAGCGAGACGAATAACATGTCCTACTCGATGCATTTGATCAGTTTCTTCGAAAATGAAGAGTTCGATCTAGGCTACCTGATTCTACCGTTATAGAAGTGTTGTTGTTCGAGCTGTTCCACTTGAGCGCCTTGCTAAAATTTTCTCAGAGGGACTGAATCACATTTTCCATTATCGAATGTGAAGGGTGATCCTGCCGTTATAGAAGTGCAGTTACTCGGGCTGTTCTGCTTGAACGTCTTGCTGTCAGAGGAACTGAATCACAGTTTTTCTCCACAGAATTATCGAATTTTTATCTGACTTTACAGGAAGCAATAGCCCTTTCCGAAGATATTCGAGCGTTGGAAGCGAGCGGCGATCGAGCAGTTTTACACAGTGGAATACTAAGCGAGCATCCGTTCGTTTTAAAAAATTCCATTTCATATTTTAATAGTGTATTCTTGAAATTGACTCACAGGCAACAATAGTGTAAGGTGGTTGAATTCCAACTGCATTCGAATCTTTTGTGCGATGACTATAACTATATCATGAAAAAAGCCTTATTTTGGATCCAGTGATTTACAAATCTGTTGGAATAACCGGTCAATCGAGAGCGCAGACAGCACCATTTGGCTTGGGGAGCGACACAGGGCATTTGTTGCGATATCAAACTTCCCCTGCTGTGATTCACTGGCTTTGTTTAGTTACTCCCTACGAAATAATGGAGTAATAGATAAGGGATTGGTCTTAATACCACGTGTATGATGACATGTTAGGATACAGTCAACGTTTCATCCCTTAGCTGTAAATACAGAGCGAACTTTGCGCGTGTAGGAGCAGGAGTCATCTATACAGCCTTCTACCCGCCAAGTACTGAACAGTCATGTGACTAATTTGCAAGACGGATATGCAAAAGAAAGGATGTGGCTCGAATGTTGTATACTAAAGGATCTTTCAGACAAAGTAAGGGGCATTTTCTTCCCACCCGGCCGATGACCACACATACATATCGTTTTCCATTCACTATCCGTGACCACTGCTTTTCATGCATGCCAGCTCATGAGAGTCACGGTACTGTAGCAAAATGGAGAAATTATGTGGTTTTTTTGAATTCCTGCACCGCAAATCTATACTATAATGGTAGTAAGTCTTTCCAGTAGTTTTTGTAAAAGAGTTTACTTTTTACAGTCATTATCCAAGCAAAGAGACCGAAAGTGAGGATTATATTGATCTTGGAGCAGCTACGCTTGATTTCTATTCGTCACTGGTTGATCTGCTTGCTAAGTGCGCCCCTGACAAACTCAATATACAGGTAATCTCTGTCATGCAGTAATAGATAATATTAGTAAAAAAAACACATTTTGGGATCTGCATTATTTATTAAACTTTTTTCTGTGGAAATTATTTACCATCCGTGAGCTTTCCTCCTCACTATCTTATTGTGTCCTTTGAACAAATCGAAGTTTTCGGCTATAACCTAAGTCTGATACTGTCTTAAGCACAGACTCACAGATATTTTTCTACAGTTTAAAAAAAATTGTTACAAACAAATAAAAATCTTCCTAATTTAAAAAAGACAACAACGTTTGCGAGAAAAAAAAGTAAAAAAAAATTTTAGGCTGGAAAAGGCGATAGTGTACGAGCTCGAGCTATATTGCGCTCGCTGATTTCACTGGACGATTTGGGTCAAATTCTATCACTAAGTTTTACGATACCAAATTTGACCGCTTCAACACCTACGGATGGTTTGCGTCATATTTAATCTATAAATTGTTGTTGTTATTACTTTCAATCACGTGAGGTAGTAAAATCCGAAGGGGAGGGCATATTGTTCCCTTGCTGACAATCGGTGAACGTAGCGCTTCAGTGGGTGATACCTGCGAGTGAGTAAACGACCACTCGGATGGTAAGTAAGCGACTACCCGTCCCCGCCGCTCTCTTAATACACACTAAATTAAGAGTGACAGGGCTCCTGCGGAGGAAGGGGGGAGGGGTGGGTACGAGCATGGTATCAAACAGACGACCTTTGTACAGTAAAATAACTGCTACCTGAGCTCCTGGAGGAGGAGGGGGAGGGGCGAAGAGGGGGGTGGGAAGGCCCCTCGCCCCCTCCTCCCCTGAATGCGCCAGTGGGAACTGTAGTAGCAAGTATCGATATTCTGATATTAAGCGATGTTGTTTTGCTTCGATCTCTGCACAACCAATCCTACGATTTGCTCGCTTGTTTCGACGCCAAATTGAACTGCCATCTTTTAGAGATTGCTTATAAGTAAACTTTGGAAAAATCATCGACATCCTTACGAAATAATATTCAATACCATCCACTCGGGTTGATTTGAGTTGATCTCGAGTATCTTCATTTTTTATAAAGGCATAAATTGCGATAAAAATTTTGATTTTTGACTTTTGACTGAAAAAGGAAAGACCAGTGGGTGGGGGAATCTCTTTTACATTAATGCTTAACCAACTAATTTTGTGTGTGTTTTTTACAAATACAGCATGAAGGCACTGAGATGAAATTAACACTTGGGCGGGCCTTTACAAGCAGGGATACGTGCGTGTGAATGCCCACCTGCTTTGTCTGTTACATTATCTCGCTTTGGAACTAAAAAATTGGGTTGCTATCTCCGAGCTTCGCGTAAAGTCGATTCTGAATTCAAAACAAGTTTTTACAAATATTGATCCAGGTAGAGGTCCAAAAATCGAGAAATACTTGAGGAATTTCAGAAGGGAGAGTTAGCAAAAATCAAGCATTTAATTCGGCATGAAACACTTGTAAGTCGCATTTTTTAAAAGAGAGAGATGAAATAATTCTGTGATAGCGTGTGATAATTGCTTACATAGCTCTAGATACTCATAGCATAATAACTTACTGCTGTTGCGTGTTGTTGATGATCACTAAATTCAACCAAAAAAAAAGCACCTTAGATCGGTTTTTGCGTAAATTACCAGTGGTAATTATTAAACTTCGTTTCGAAAAAAGCATGGCTTTTTGCTTGTTTAGCTGGGCTGCTATTTGTTAATCAGTCGGACTAAAAAAGAGTTGTTTTTCTTAAAATCGGCTTCAATTGACACAATTAACACCAGCTTAACATTTGCCTTGTTGTTGTTTAATTATAGTTTGACATAAATTAACCATGTTTCTTTTAAGAAATTTCACCGCCAATATCAGTAGCAACGACTGGAATCGATGATAACAATTCACGCATAACTGCTTATTCTGCAGAACAAGCAAATCGTGTTTTTACCCTACCGAAATCAGGATTACCACCACTACGAAGCACTAGTTCAGTTTCATCGTGCCCGTTACCAACGCCAGTTTTATCCTCTCAGGCAACGCAAAATGGCCGGAAAGTGTTATCATTGATGGAAGCTGAAAGCGCTGCTAATCGAGCGTACTCGGTGCAGCAACATTTGCCGCAACAGCCGGAGCATGGTAGCTTTGATACGTCTGATTATAGCATTTGGAGCACACCATCGTCAGTGCTTCGGAGAGCAGCAAGACGCAATTTTATTCAAGCCCAATCATCTGCTCCGGAAGCTTGCCACAATCGGAATAAGCTCTTCAGGAGTGCTACCGCGGAAGAAGAGGAGGAGGAGGGGGAGGAGGAGGCATATAAAGAAGCTGCAGGCATTTTAGATGACCACAGAAGTTCTTCGCAACAAAAAATAAGTTTGACCAGCGAAACATCAGCCGCTTCCGAGAGTGATAGATTTCGGACTGCTGAACAATCTCCAGCTTTGGACCGAGTTCGTCCGGAATCGTCATCAAAAAGCATTGATCGAACGCCCGTGAGAAAATTATCCGCGAAATTATTTTCATTTAATAAAGCATTTTGCTGGGAGAAAAACAGAGACGAGAAGACAAAGAGTGAGTGATGAGCGCTTTTTTGAAACGTTTTTCAAATAAAACTTTTATTTTCCATCTTAAACTAACACCAAAAACTTAAAGAGATTTAGTGTTATTTTTATTTTAATACACTCTAATATTTTTTATTCTTTTTTGATTGCTCATATTAGTAAGCATTTGTTTGGACTACTTGTAATGATTGCTGATGGCATGTGCTACCATTTGAGCTATTCTAAAATGCTTCCCTTTCATGGATTGAAAGAGTTGGGGAGCGTTTTGACTCTGGCCAGGCTTATTTGAATAGTTTGATAATTAATTTTTATTCAGCCGATTATGACAACCAGGTTAAACTTTCAAGTCTGAAAGACGAAGGCGCAATAGATTACAGAATGAGAGAACAATAGGAAGAAGAAGATAAGAGTGAGGTAATTAAGTTCATCAGTTAACCACTGGTTGCTCATCAGATAACTCTTCACTCACAATAGCACAGAAATATCAATCAATATTTATTTAATACAAAATCTCAATTATTAGTTGGCCATATCGAATTTTCGATCCAAGCTGGCTATCCTTACTCTGTCCTTAAATCTAACCGGTCGGTGAATGCATATTAGCAGAGGAAATTGCTCAATTCAGGACCAAAGAGAATTGCCTGAGGAAAGTGGAAGCATTTCAGTTAACATCACTAACATCGAATTCCTTTCGTACCGATTGTTTGAGAGCTTCTGCTAACATGATATGATCTTTTCGGAAGCTGTTAAGCATCGTTTCTATCTCCGCTGACCAATAACCCATACAGTAGCCATCAGAAGAAACACATTTTGTTTTCCTGGTGGGTTTTGTTGCTTGCACTGATGAATGTGGGGCAAATGAGTGATATAATTGGGAGGTGGATATTATCCCGTGGCACTGAGGATCCTTAAAAATTGGACAGTTTTTGTCTCAGATCGGATGAAACTTTCAAAACTGCATTAAGCTTCAGGAGGAACAAAAATAATGTTGGCGAAAATTCTAACTTTTACATTCAGTTATCTACTGAGGTGAGATTCTGTAGCGTTACCCTACTCCTGGCTTCCTAAGGTCTGCTACTTGTCTTCTGAGATTTTCTAAGACCTTACTAGTCGCCAGCTCATAATCCTTGTAATCTTTGCAGAGGAGCGGATATAAGGAGCACTGAAATTTTCTACCCTTTGTTCGTCAGTCCGCGGTTTACCAGATTCACAAAGCGTTTAAGTAAAATTCGAAATAAGGCAATTTTTGACTCAAGAACTGGCACCGATGTTGGAAAATTGATTCCAAAATAAAAGTGCTAAAACTCGACATCATTTGAAATCTGGTTTCTTTCAGTTTGTCCAGTAGCTGGACAATGAAGGAACAGAACTTATAAGAGATAAATTGTAAGAGATAAGTTGATACAGAACTTATAAGAGATAAATTGTAGATGATGG